CTTTATTATACTATACTAACAATATGCAAACTGAACAAATATATCTAAACACTAGTATGCATTTTTGTATAATACTTGAATGTTTAATATAAATAATATATAAATTAGAACTTGTACTGGACTTCAGAACAAAAATACTTGAATGTTTAATATAAATAATATATAAATTAGAACTTGTACTGGACTTCAGCTTCAGCATAAGAATAGTTAATATGTAACTTAATACTTAATCACAATATAATATAAATACTAAAAAAGAACATGTGAAATTAATATTTTTTTACTTAAACTTAAAATTGACACTACAACTACAATGTAGATTACCATTAAAAACACAAGATGATTTATACTTGTTGATATGCCTAAATAATATAAAAGAAAACCATTATATTATATGTAAAGAAACTTTATTATAACTTATTATTAAAATAATGTCACACTATTCCTAGTGGGCCTTTGCTACCAAGAGATTACATAAAAGTGGTGTTAGGATCATAACTAAAAATCGTAGCATGTTCCAAGACTCTTTACTTTAATCAACCTAAACTATAACTTTATAACACAGTAAAAGGGGGGAGTCTAGGCTTTATTGGTTTTTATTTAGGATGAAAAATGACTTTAATTAGTGTTCTTGGTTTCATTATCTATAGTGTCTATACTGTATGTGTCTAGTTTTTCTATACAATAAATTAAAAATGGGATAATTCATGGAAGTTTAACAATTATAGGAAAAAGTACCCGGTAATAAATAAAAAAAAATCCGAGCTTACATTAATTTATTTTCATGATAACTCTACTTAACACGTTTTTTTTAGACTATATTTAAATTTATTTCGCATAGTTGAGCAAAGCTCTATGATAGGATTACTGCTAGGCCTACTATTTAATATGCATCAAGTCAATTATAAATTAATAAAAACTCAATAAAATTCAACAATCTTAAAATATCCCAAATAGTATGGTATTTGGTATGATTCTGGAAAGTATGTCATTTTGTCTTGAGGCAGGTAAAAGTGTCAAAAGAACACTTAACTTTGTGTGTGTGTGTGTGTCAAAGCGGAGAACCGAATGTCCAAATCTGGAAAGAACACCTTAAAGTTAAGCTTAGGGCTAGGGTTAGGGTTAGGGTTAGGGTTAGGGTTAGGGTTAGGGTTAGGGTTAAGCTTAGGGCTAGGGTTAGGGTTAGTGTTAGGGTTAAGCTTAGGGCTAGGGTTAGGGTTAGGGTTAAGCTTAGGGCTAGGGTTAGGGTTAGGGTTAGGGTTAGGGTTAAGCTTAGGGCTAGGGATAGGGTTAGGGTTAGGGTTAGGGTTAAGCTTAGGGCTAGGGCCTACTTGTTTACGGCCCACGGTGATATTGCCGATGATAGCATTAGGCCGTACGCTCATCATATTATAATTAGGCCTATATAAGAAATACATTTCATTGTCAGAGTCGCTCCGAGAGTGTCCGTAAGTTTACATTTCTTGAGAAGAACAAATAACTCGCAGTCTTATTCTAATTGCAAAGGTAAAATAATTTGCCAACTTTATTATTGGTCGTTTTTTCATTATTTTTTAAAGCCACAATGCTTTGCAGAGCAGAATTATTTTTTAACTTTAATTTATTAACCAATGAAACTAATTATAAAAATATATATGTATTTAAAAAGTAGAAAATTGTATGTGGCACGTTTTCTAAGTGTTTCGGGCATTTTAAAATTTAACACAAATTCTATTCAATTCATTATTTTTGTGGTCACATGTCGTGCGTTCAGTTGTCTATGGGTTCAGTTGTCAGTGTGGTCACTTGTCTGTGGGTTCACTTGTCCGTGGGTTCACTTGTCCGTGGGTTCACTTGTCATGGGTTCGGTTGTCTTAGGTNTTTGATTTCATCATTAAAATGATTTGTTGACCTGCAGACTTCTTTCGATGGGCCTGTCTTTGCTGCAGGGAGACATTCTGCCCAACACACCCGCTAAAACTGTTCTCAGGGAGAGGGTCTATGCTGCTACTTTAGATTTCTTTTGGTAAGAACTGATTCTTTATATACAAAATTATGGCATGCCTTTGATGCTTTATGGCATTGGAAAAGGAGGCTGTAGCATCCACAATGTTGGGATAAGGAGCCATTTTATGAAAATTCTCTGCAGGGACCAAAAAATAATTTTGAGAATACATTTTTAAAAATTCATGGCTTTTAGTCTAAAAATATGTATGCTTTATGCCAGTGGTCCCCAAATGGCGGTCCGTGGACCCTCACCGGTCCGCATGCCTAACGCTGCCAGTCCCAATAACATAAATATTTATTGTCAAATAGATATAAAGTATAAAAATAAATCAAGCACCGGTCCCTGGTAAAATTTCGAAACATGTTCACCGGCCCGCCAAACTTAAAAGTTTGGGAACCACTGCTTTATGCGAAGAAGACGTAGAGAAACTACCTGGAGGAACACCGTCTTCTTTGTGTGTAAAAATGTTTGACTCGAGTTTTGAAAACTTTAACTCTGTGTCTGTCTGAATGTTTATCAGTACGATTAAAGAATTATTTTCTCCCAGTGGACCTCCCATCTGCCCTTCACAACAACCCAGTGAATTGAGAGAAGACATCACACTGCTTATTTCCTACTGGCAAAAGATGCATTACGACAAGAAACATCTGTCTTCCAACATGGTACCATTGGGTAAAGATTTTGTTCTGAGAAATCTATTTTTGTCCATTATTCACTTTTACTAAATGCTTCTCCTGTTGCTGAGTAATAAGCTTATCTTTTTATATTTCACTTTTTCATAGGATTTATATTGTTTAAAAAATGTTCATATAAATTGTTTTAATATTCTTCATTTATGCTAGTTGAAAGTTTATATTTTACATCAGCTATGTCTCATTTTGAAAATATAATGATGAAGATGCACCGTAAATCATTCGAAAAAAAAGGTAAAATTTGAAAGAACATGAGTAAATATTATAGTTGTGATACACCGCTACATTATTAAAACTGGTCCAGAGTGATCATCATTCAAATCTCTTGCCTTGACTTTGATCTTCTAGCTGACTCCATGGACAACCCAGCACCATCTCCACCCCCTGTCATATCTTCCACTGGCCAGTCAGACTTGAGACTTCAGTCAGGTTGGATGAACACACTGAACAGCAGCTCATCAACCTACTCCAAGCGGTCGGCAGGTATGCTTGGTTTATATAGATCTCATTCCCTAAGCCATCAACAGGATAACTGATAACTTGTTTTGACGTGTGGTGTGCGTTCGGTTTCATTTTAAAATTTGAAATCACCGTAATTTCTTAGTTTTGAATGAGCAAGACCTTTCCACCAGGGCTGAGCCGGCTGCTGATCCGCATACCCATCCATGCTCAAAATAACACACCTGCAACATACACTGACCCTGCCAATGAAACTGAATGGGGAGGGAGGGGTTAAAAAAATGTCAAGGCAAATTTATAAACGTAATAGTTTTTACATGAATTAAATAAATGATAATAGAAAACTGACTTGTGATTAGTGTGAAACTTAATGTAAGCTGTATGAAACTGCCAAGCCCTGATATCAATAATTTTCTTTTTAGGAATTTTTTTACAATTCTTTGTCTTTATTGTAAGGTGCATAATCTTTGACTGTGACAATGATTCATTGTCACTTCCTCCTATTTAAAATTCATATTTCCTTCCAATGCTTAACTGGTGATACTGAGAAGCCTATGTTTTTTTTCTTGGGGTGGTGGTCATTTCTAAGGTCTGCCATAGAATTTAAAATACTAATGTAGTTTTAACCCTTATTTAATAAGAGAAGCTATCTGACCTGAAGGATGACTAAGAGGGTATCGCCATGATGATGAAGTATTTTTTTAAAATAATATAGGTTCATTGGTAACAGAAAACTGAAGACTGCTACCAACCAGTAACTAGCAACACTCATGCATATAGTGAAGCTCTGCTCCATATTTGATTTTTGAAATGCTACGGGTTAAAATTAGATGTCTTAAAGCCTTAAAGTTTGATGCATTTGAGATCGCCACTGGTTAGAACATGCTGTTTTAGTTTTCACCACCGGGTGGAACACATAATTTCTCATTTTATATAGATATTTATGAATTGTTAAACACGAAACCCAGACTCGGGTCCACTGAGTATTATCTCAAAATACCTGGTACCTGGACAAAAAAACTCCACCAGGCTCAGCCCAACTTTCCACCCCCACATTTTCATGATCTCTTCTGGACTGTTTTCCTGGCTTAGATCTTGACACCCTCTGAGCCCAAGTTATTTCCATAAAGTAATTCTTACATGGGTTGAAAAAGTCAAACATTGTTCCAAAACTAATTGTTGAATTGAAACTTTCTTATGATACCCCTGTACATCTGACGTGTTCAGTGTCTCATTGAATCTACTCTATGTTTACAGATCACCTGACACCAGGCTACACTGGTAATGGCATACACTGGCATATCACATGTACATTTATTTAATGCTCTATTACATCATGCCCTTTTTATTTATCTAATACCCTGATCTCCATCAAAATAGCCAAAGGTAGTTCGAAGCTAAAAACTCATATGAACAGACAAATATTCCAGATCTGTTCTGAGCTTCAAGCTTTGCTGCTCGATGTCTTAGACATACTAATTTAACACAGGTCCTCAACTAATTCAGTTTAAAGTGTTGAAAAAGAAAAGTAACAAAATCAGTTACCAATAAAGAGAAAAATGAGTTTTTATTCCTCATCCCTTCTATCAAATGTTTTGTTTAAAAACAAAGATGATAGCACATATAGCATTGCAATATGGGTGAAGGCCATTCATGTAAAAAATTAATATGTGGTGACATTTAATAAAGACAGTCATTGTATAATTCATTTTATATAATTTGATTTGTATTACTAAATGCTGCATTTAAGATTGAGGTTCGCAATAGTAATGTAACTTTGATATTGGTATGGAGGTTACTTATTTTTAATCTATAGATTGAGCCATTGATGAGATTGAAGGCATTCAATCCTATACTCCTTGCTTCCACCACCACTCACACATAATCTCCGATTGCTACCAAATATTACTCTGCCTGGACATAATGCATAGCATCTCGCTCTTTCCTTTCTCTCTCAGCTTACAGTGACTATGACCTGGGCGAGACATTGAAAGGTTTCCACTTCTACTTGCATGACTTATTCCATCTCACATTTTTTGATATCCTAGCCACCCATTTATTAGCCAGATTTTAGATGGTCTATTTCAAGTAGGTTGGTGGGTGGCAGCTAGTTGTGGGTTAGTTGGTTTATGTTTTGTGTTGACCCTGTTTCAGTCCTTGTGCAAAGTGTTTTAAACATGAGAATTACGTGCATAAATTGTATGGATGCTTAGATAAAAGGGGAAATACATTGAGATGGTCATGCTTATAAGGCATGGATTCTTTGATGAAAGGTGAAATATGTTTAGAAGTACATGCTTAAAGGTATGGATACTTTGAAGAAAGGTGAAATACATTGAGAAATACAATTCTTAAATGGTATGGATATTTTGATGAAGAGTGAAAATGTCTTGAAATACATTTGCTGAATAAGGAATCTGTGTCGTCTGATTGTTATCTTTGTTACCAACCCATTAGTTCAACACTGCAAACACGGACTGCAAAATGTGGGACACTCTCAAGCATGTTAGTGCACTGCAATGAGCATGAAAGAGAAAAGCAGTTGTTGGAAGTTATGTTTTTTTAAACTCTGTGTGTGTGTGTGTGTTCCACTGCATCAAGTTGTTTTTTAGTTTGGTGCGTCATTTAAAAAAAATATTTATATAATTTTTTTGCACCTCAAACTTAAAGTCAAGAGATCTAAAAAGTTAGAATATTAATATTATAACATTGTTCCAGTCTGAGAAAGTTTAACAATCCCAAAATATTGGAACTGGAGTCAAATAAGTCCCCATCGATGAGATATTTTGTTTTGATTTGTTCAATTAACAATTATGAATGTTTATTATGGCTACAATTAATTATCACATTTTTTTTTAGGTTGAGCTTATCTCAAACTGTGTTAGTTCTATATTTTTTAGCATAGGAGTCTTTAACACAACTGGATGCTAATCATACATAATTTTTCATATTTAAAATATTAGCTTAAAATCATTTTTTGAAAGACTATTAAAAACATGTAGTGTTTTTTTATGTGAATTGTTTTGTAAGTGAAGAACATTGAGCCTCATTCAATAACATGACCTCCAAGTTATGGCAAAAGTTAACAAAATAAGATACAAAATATGACATTACTAGTTTTCGGTCAGTGTGTATAGTTTCTAAAGGTTATTTTGATCAGTTATAAAAATTATTGTAAGTCAATTAAAACTAAAGTTTTTGCAATCTTTGTGACGTTTTAAATCAATTTTTTTTAACCACAATCCCTCAGTTTTCCCAATTAAAAGTCAGTGTACCCCAATGAAAAGATGTTCCATTTTGAATAATATAAATAAAAAAAGCTTTTTTTAACCATACTAATATATATGTCAAGGGTTTAGCATGGTGTTCATTGGTGGATTTTCACAGTAGATTTATATTTATAGCATAATATTTGAAAGAAAATGAAGTATAAAGATAACGTAGCTAGGTAATATTTTATTTAGCCCCTGGCAAAGGTTGTGAGTTTTAGTAATGAAATGTCAGCAAATCGAATTGTAAGTGTGGCTAGAAAAAAATACTTTGTGAATTTCATTGATGTTTTTTTTTAGTTGTAAATATTATTTTAGGAAGTAAGTGGTGCATGCATTGTTAAAAAGTTTTCTTTATAATTATTTAGTAATAATTATCAGTCAATAGATGGCTGCCATCTCTGTTTAGGTGCAGTTTAGTTTTAAATGAAGTTATAAACAGATTTGTCTTTTTCAAATGTATTTAATTTAAATTAATGGTTGAAAAATAATATGATGTTAAGATGCTAGCTTGGTTTAAAACTAATATTATTTAGATAAGATAAAGTAAATGGCGTTTTTTTTTTTTTTTTTTTTTTT